CGCACTATGGCCTATGTGACAACTTAAAAAAAAAATGCAACAAATAAAGTTTTTATTGATTTCCATTGTCTCTCTTCTATTCGTGAGAAGAGTGTTTGCATAGCTTTCATGAAGGATACAGTTTCTTTAATTTCATGCACGAATATATTTGACGTTGATACTTTGATAAATCGGTAAATGCTCAAGTCGATGATGGCTATGAGAAAGATGGGCTATTATCGCATCAGCTATCGCTAAGCCTCTATTCATGTCGTTATCTCGTTTAATAAGACGCCATTTTATCAAATATCACGTTATCTTGTAGAGTCACAATTTCATGTTAATGAAAAATGGTATGTTCCCCAATCTGGCTTACCCTTTATTTATCACTAGTGAATATCCGCACTATCACTATCGCACAACTGTTTTTCAAAAAAAGTATATGAAACATATAAAGTTTTCAGTGTTTTCCATTTTCTCTCTTCTATTCGTCAGAAGAATCTGCATAGCTTTTTTTTGAAGGATGAAGTTGCATTCCATGCATGACTATAAGATGTAAATCCATAATTTGAAACCTTATTTGTGACACTGTCACTTAATATTACATTATAACGTTTTGATACTTTCATCAGGCGTTGCTGTTTGAAACGAATGTTTACTTATACAAAGACAGACAATGGAAATAATACCTTTGATATTTTATTAATTTATAGTTATTACATATTTTTTCAATTCCATGGGTAACATACTTCTTGACCTGTTAATCTACATGGGCCACTAGGTCTTATACTCCAGATACACGGATGATCTTCACATGTATTCCTATCTCTCACAGCTACAAGTATATCAAACCATTTAGACTGATTTTCCCATTCAAAGTGACAAAAAAACAAAGTTGTGACCAAAAAGTTAATTGGTTCTCTAAATCCATAGTGTTGGTGATAAGCTAAAGACTGTGGCCCGAGATCCTTATCCTTAGATTTGCAGTGTAGCCTTAATTGAACATTTGGACCGATATCATTGATGATGTCAGTTTGTATATGCACAGTTGCCTCACAAAGACCACCAAAGAGAAAAACCATGAACAAAACAACACGAAACATAATGTGAAATGAGAATGACGCACACATAAAAAAATATTTGATAGTATGAAATTAAGTCTTATTATCCCTGTATTTATACTAAAAATTATGTTTGTGAATGATTAAGACAATCACTAATTGATGGTAACTATGGTATTGAGTTTTACAAAATCGTTATATTTTTTTGGAAAAAAATCCTTACCGTTTCCAAAGAACATCGACTTTGACCGGAAATATTTTGTATGGGAATTTTTGTTAAATATTATATTATAGATATATGTGTTATGACTTTTGAATGCAAAAAGAATTTTTATAAATATATAGTTTCTGTAAATAGGATACATGTTTCTGTAAATATATAATTTTTCGTATGACTTAAAAAAAGTTTGACCAAGAAAAAGGAAGGACTTGCTTAAAAAAACACTTGGATACGTCATACGTGTTGGAAAAAACAAAACACTAAAAACGCGAGGGAAAGACACATGGAGATTGGGATCTTGAAGGTTATAGTAAAATTTAAATGGGAGAGAAAGAGCAATAAATCTTAGATGCTCGCAGAGATGAAAGCCGATTATAGATCGCCCGATCTATCTATTAGAGTGTGACATACTCAGAACCGGTTACACTAAACCATGTGATTATTCTTGGTTAGAATAATGTAAACCGGATGTCATCTCTCTGTAACCGATTCTGATTATGTCACACTCTAGTACTATCAGATGGAGATGACCAATAGCTGAGCTGTGAGTACAAAGATTTCGGATTGCCACCCGACCAAGTATAGTGCCGCTTTGAAGCTTAGTCGTCAATGGCATCCCGAGTATTTGCAGAAGCTGACGGAGCGCCGACCATGAGTAAGTGGAGGAATCACAGACGAAAACGAGACTCGTATTCACAGGTAAGTCTGATCCATCCT